AGAGTCAGGCTGCGTCTCAGGCTGAATCAGGCAGGAAGAAATCTGGAGACAAGAAGCGATCTCAGAGAAACAAGACGGTGAGTCACAACAGAACTGCAGTAAAAAGATGTAAATAAACAAATAACTCATGTTTCAAGTAAGAAACATTTTATCTTATTCAGCTTTTCATAAAACACAATAAAAACATTATTTAGTTTATATCCTGGGCAGTGATAGACATTTAAATACTTAAAAGTATATTTTAATCTTCTTTGTGTTGTTTATAGAAGAGTCCAGTCGAAGACTTGAGAGCGCCGTCGCCCTCTGCAGGCGACAGACCGAACTCCTCCACTCCGCCTCCAGCTGCTGTCGCCGTCTCCTCTCTTCCTGCTGCTAACTCCGACTCGGCTGGGCGGAGCTCTCTGAATGTAAACATGGCCGCCGCCGCAGCAGCGTCAGGCTCCGCCTCCGTTGTCCCGCCCACCTGTGCTATTCCAGAGACCAAGTCAAGCTCCCAGTCCTACGCCTCCGCCGCGGCCGTGCCGGTTTCCCCCCCACCGGGCATCAAGCCGCCGGCGCCCTCCTCCACCAGCCTCTTCTCCTTCATCACCCCGGTTCTCCCTGCTGCCTCTCCAGCTCCTCATCATCCTCCATCTTCCTCATTTGCCGCATCTCATCCGCCGTTATCGTCGGCTGCCGCGCCGACGTTCATCGCCCCCATCGCTCCGAGTCCGACCGCGGCTCAGGGCTTCAACCGGCCCTTCTCCCCGCTCACCGCTCGGCCTCGCTCGCCCAGTCCTCTCTCTCCTACTCCACCTTGATCCCACCTGCTGCTCAACCCAAAGAAGCTCCACCCACCCACACCGGTGAGTTAAAGTCCATTTGAGCAGCTTGTATTCTATGCAGATGATGTTTTCATGCTGATTCTTCTGTATTTCCAGATGTTTTGCCAAAAACAGAGATGAGTCTTCCAGCGTCTCAGCCTCCCCAGAGTGAGACGTTCGTCCCTCAGAGTCTTCCTCAAGTTGATCCAAACCCGATTAGAGCTTTGGTGCCTCAGGCAGAAGGATCAACCCAACACTCTTTACAGGAAATCCAGACCCAAAATCAAGAACCACAAAACCAGATCAAGCCTGAGACCCAGGTCTCCTCCCCCCAGAAACAACTACAGTCCCAAACTGAGGCGTCTTCAGAACCTCAAACACTCCAGCCGCAGTCTGACGGCAGCCCGGTTCACTCCCCTCAGTCCTCTGAACAATCCCTCAGCCTTCCGAGTCCAGAAGACCCTCCAAAGTCTGACTCTCCTCCTCCTGCCTCCCGGCAGCCACAGCCTGTTGCCTCTGCCACTCTTCCCCAGTTACAACCTCACTTCCCTCACTCCATCCACGGCGCCGTCCCCCTGCAGCAGCTGTCCCAGCTCTTCCAGGACCCGCTGTTCCCCGGCTTCCCCCAGGGGGAGAAAGGAGAAGTCGCCCATATCCCGCCGTTCTCCACCAACAAGTCTGGAGACGACCTGCCGAAAGGTGAGCAAAGAAGCACACGACCTGATTTTAGTTTCTACTTTACAAGAAAACGAATCATTTAGTTTATATCTGAGCTCCATCTCACAAATGTGAATGTATCCAGGCTGGATTCCTCCTTTATCAAGCTATTTGCATATGATACTAAGAATTATGGGAAAAAAAAACATGTAGATGTTTAAATGAGGGAAAATCTCTGGTGTAGATGCTCAGATACTAAGTGAGAGGAAAGATTGAGGACAGGTTGGACGGAAACGTTGTGCCGATGGATGAAGGAGGAAACAGGAGAGATGATCTGCTTTGGTTAATCCTAGCCAAAAAAAATCAACTATGAAAAACACTAAAACTGATTGAATTATTTAGGAACCTGAATAATATTTATTGTTTAAATTCTTGTTTATGTTAAGAGGATTTATTCTTCCTAAATCTATATGTTATTTTTCCCTGCAGACGTAAACGTCTTGAGGTTTTTCTTCAACTTGGGCGTCAAGGTAAAAAGTCTCATTAAAGTGACTTCTCTCATGTTTTCAGCTGAACTAAAACAAACCCCTGGGTGTTTTCTGTTGCAGGCGTACAGCATGCCCATGTTCTCCCCCTACGTCTACCTCTTCCCGCTGCAGCAGTACTCCACCATGCAGATGAAGCCCCACGCCCCGACCCCCCACTACCCCGGCTCCAGCCCCCCCACCAAGCTGCAGGAGGCCTACCAGGCCACCCCGTACCCCGTGCCCCCTCCTCCTCCCCCCAGTACGACCGCCACAGTCCCCCGGCGGAGCCCCCCGGCCCCAGCGAACCCCAGTTCAACCAGAATCTGTACCCGCCGGTCGCCCAGCCTCTGCCACCGCAGAGGCTGCCCTGCGCCTCGTTGTCGTGGCCCCCGTCCAGAAACCCGCCGCCGTGTCCTGTCGGTTACGCCTCACCTCCGCCGCCATACTCCAACGCTCCTCCGTCCTCTCAGGGGTACCACGCGGTCAGGCGGTGCACCCGCTGTACCCGGCCGCGCCGCCGTACCCGCCCTTCTCCCTGGGGTACCAGCCGCCATCGGCCGCCGAAGAGCTCCAGGTGAGCCAGGCGGCCATGGAGCAGCTGCAGCCCGCCAACCCGGACCCCGTCCACAGCCACGGACACCCGGTCCTGGGTCCGCTGGAGGCCCCGCCCGCTGCTAACATGGCTAACGCTAACAACAACAGAAGTATTGTGGTTACTACCAACTACGGTAGGTGGCTTTTGTTCTCAGAACTTGCAGATGACAGCAGTTTTCACAGCTTCTACACCAGGAGGCGCTAACATGTGAATGTCTCAATGCAGCTTATAACAGAACGTTTTCCCCATCAGCCATGAAGAAGGAGGCTGGAGAGGGAATGACCCGGACGGTGCTGCTGGTGGACCCCCCACTCAACAACAAGCCCATCGTACGTACAGCATGCTAGCTGAGCTCTGCTAACGCTAACAGCAGTAAAATGACAGAACTAAATAAAAGTATTACATTCACAGAGATAGAATTTATTAAACTGTTAGCAGCTGTGATCTAACTGTAGTTAGTGGAAGCTAACGCTAAAGCACTAATCCGTCACAGAATCTAGAAAATAAAAATTTGATACATTTTCATTTAAGTCTTTTTATACAGTATTTGAAATGCATTAAAAGTTGCAAATAATACTTAAGTAATAAAATGTATTGCTGACAATGCCATCTAGCATTCTTTTAGTAAAGGAGGCTACTAAAAGAAAGACAAGACAGTCTATGTTTACAAAGACTGTCTTTGTAATCATATTTACAAAGACAGTCTTTTCCATAATAAATGCAAAATGCATGTTGTCCAGTTCTGGCTGAATTACTGCTCTGGATGTGTTGGTTTATCAGCAATTTGAGTCTATTGAGTTATTTCAGTTAATCTGATTAACCTAAAGCAGATTAATGGTCAAACTCCAGTCCTCCAGGTGACCTGCAGTGTTTAGATGAGCCACAGGTACCAAACCCTGGAATGAAATGGCTTAATTTCCTCCTTCCTGTGTGGATCAGAGCCTTAATGACCTAATTAATCTATGAGGTGATGCAGCAGAGGCTCATCTAAAAGCTGCAGAGCGGCGACCCTCCAGGACTGGACTTTGACTCCCGTGGAGCGGGTCGAGCTTCTGCTTTAAAGCAGAATATAAAGCAGTAATCCCTGTTTTGTCCACTAGGGGTCAGTAGTTGTCTGCATGTCTTTCTGTCTCAGCTCGCCCTGGTGTCTGATCCCGACCTGAACGACGCCGCCCTGCGGTCCGGCGGCAGCCCCGCCTCTCCGTCTACTTTCCGAGGCGCCCGCAAACATTTCCCCGGCGCCAAGCCGTTCGTCCCCGGCGACCCGGGCCAGCTGCTGTTCGCGCCGGGCGTCGCCATGGCGGAGCCGCTGTCGGTGGCGTGCGGCACGGAGGACGACTTTGATCTGGATCAGTTCGGCGTGGGCTACAACGGGCAGAGGAAGATCTACCGGGGGCGGGGGCAGAGGGGCAGGAGCGGCTACGACCCGAGCAGGGCCAGGCGTCGCTACGGCGACCAGGGGGCAGGGACTCATTTCTTCAACTCCTCCATCAGGGGGCGTGGCCGGGAGAGGGGCTACTAGCTTCAGCCAATGAGAGAGCAGCTTCTCGAACACTATGTTTCCTTCTCCTTTGGCTCTGCATGAAGTTTACGTCTCTGAACGGCTGAATGTGAAATCAGGCGGCGGCGACTAAAGGTCCATGTAACCTGTGAAGCTTGGGGAAGAGAAACCGTTTGGAAATTATTCACTGTTTTCCCTCCTGTTCAATACGAAGCACTGCTGCCTCCATGCTGAGAAAACCCAAATTCCCCACCGTCTTTCTGTCACTGGAAGGCATCGAAGTGTCTGAACGCGAGTTGTGGCGTCGAGGTGATGCGTTTGCAGGGCTCAGGTTTTATTCAGCGCTGTGTGTGTGTTTAGGTTTGTTTCGTGTGTTTAGGTTTGTTTCGTGTGTTTAGGTTTACTTCGTGTGTTTAGGTTTACTTCGTGTGTTTAGGTTTGTTTCGTGTGTTTAGGTTTGTTTCGTGTGTTTAGGTTTGTTTCTGTGTGTTTGCTGCTGGTTTCACCTTCTTTCTTCACTTTGGATCATCTAAACTCTGAGGAATCAGTGCCTTAAGTTTGCTACTTTTATTTGGTGAGAAACACTGCTGTACAGAACAAAGAATGTCTGCCTTGGATTTTTCTATGTGGTTAAATAAAAAGTTTGGTTCAAACTTTTACTTGGTTGCTTTTTATTCAGTCAACATAGCATTTTAAAAAACTGCTCCAGAAAATATGAAAAATGATTCAAGAATAACAATGTTACAAAGACCAATTAAAATCTTACAGCAATAGTTATTTTGAAACTAAAATTGAAAGCATTCTGATTGGCTGGTTCAACGTTCCTGAAACTTTTCCTGCTTCTTTCTGCTCTCTGATTGGACGACTGTGGGGACGTCGCGTTACATCTCTACAGATCAGACAAAGATGAAGAGTCATTTCCAGGTCAGGAAGCGTCTGTTTATTATGACTTGTAAATGCATGAGTGATAAAATTCGCTGCTGAATGTTCCACAGCGCCGCTGCCGGGTTAGCTCCGCCCACACGGTCGGGCCGACGCCACGCAGCACTTCTTCGTCTGACGCGTCACAACATGGCTGGATACTGAACGCAGCTCTGTACAGAAAGGCTGATGCGTTTTGTTTTGTTTATTTATCACGTTTGGGTGAAACGCGGCCGTGTGGAGGCGCCGCGTTGCCGGGAGGTCGCAGTCGGTCACGCCGGACGGCGGCTTTAGTCATCCAGGAAGAAATAGTTCCCGCTCTTCTTCTGCTCCGTGTCCTGGAAGAGACGATCGGGGAAGCTATTATTTTTGGCGACGTTTGATATTCATCGGAGCGTCGGCGGCGTAGAGCGGCGTCACACACCTTGATGGAGTTGAGCTTGTTGATCCTCGGCCTGAAGTTGTTGGGGTCTCTCCTGAACGTGATCTCCAGCAGCGACAGGAAGCGGTTCATCCCGGCCAGAAGACTCTGAGGCCTGAAGAAGAATCAGGTTTAAAACGACGCGTTTCAAAATGGCAGCCTCAAAAATATCAGATAAACAATTGAGACCAAAAATCTTTCATCTGATTTCTCTCAATTTTTACAAAATAAGTTAAAATAAGTTAATATAATGCTTTTTCTGATGCTCATTTTCTGATTCAGCTGTTTTGCTTGGGGTCAGAGGTTAAAGCTCTTTGGGGGGTCATGATCCAAAACGTTGGGGGCGGAGCTTACGTGTTCGCTGAGGTCTTCTTGGAGGGAATACCGTCGAAAACGATGACTCTGTCGGCCAAATACGTCGCCATGATGAAGTCGTGTTCCACCACAAACGCCGTCTTCTTGGCGTGAAGGATGTACCTGGGAAAAAAAACAAAAAACAGCAACAATGTTAAACAACAGCGCCCCCAACAGGAAGAAAAACATCAGAGCAACACATTTCTGTCGTCAGTAGAAAAGCTTTGCTATCGTCTGTTAGCTTTATGTGACTTGAAATAAATCTCTCAGAGCTGAAGCTGCTTAAACCCAGAAAACCTGAACCTGAGAGTTTTGTGCGTCTTCACCTCTTGATGACCCTGGCAGCCATCAACCTCTGCTCAGAGTCCAGGTACGCAGACGGCTCGTCGATCAGGTAAACGTCGGCCGGTTTGCCCAAACACAGCGTGAGGGCGACTCTCTGCAGCTCACCGCCAGACAGGTTCTGCACCTGGAGGAGGAGGAATAGGAGGAAGGTCAACCCAGAACCAGAACCAGAGCAGGGACTTTCTACAACCAACAATTTGACTCAAACGCTTCTTGTTCCTGTTTCAGCGCTAGGCTAGTGCTAGCATGTTGACTTTGTTTTTATATGACTCGTTGATCATATTAAAATAAATCTATAATGTTCTGAAAAGATGAGACCTAAAGTAGTCAAGTATTCACAAGCAGCTATTTGACTCAAAGAAGATCCTTGTTCCTGTTTGTTTCAGCGCTAGGCTAATGCTAGCATGTTTACTTTGTTTTTATGACCTGTTGACATCTCAGCTTATAATCTATTTTAGATTGGTTTGAGTTTTGAAAAAAGTCAAATGTTAATCTATTCATCCCAGTTTTCTATGTTTGAATCACAATTATTCAAAATGGCTCCTCTCTTCTTGTGTAGCTGAATTTCTCCATAACAATCAGAGAGAGATGAATAACCACCATTCGTTTTTGCCTGATGGAGACTTTCCTCATTAAGTTTGTTTACTGTACGATGTTTTATCTGCAGTTCTTACGTCCTGGTCGATGATGCTCTCGATCTGCATCGGCTTCATGACGTCGGTGATGAACTGCGGGTGCGTGTAAGCGTCTCTGATTTTCTCGTGGAGCAGAGCTCTGACGCTTCCCTGCAGACACAAGCATGCGAAGTTCAAACTATGTGAAAACAAAACAGCTTCCTAGTTTTTATTTTAGTGGCTGAATGCTTCACCTTGAACTTGGGGCTGATGGTCTGAGGCTTGTAGCTCACGTTTCAGGATGGGAACTTCCCCTGAAAGACGCAGGAAGGTCAAACACCAGCCAGTAAAGGTCAAACACCAGCCAGTGAAGGTCAAACACCAGCCAGTAAAGGTCAAACACCAGCCAGTGAAGGTCAAACACCAGCCAGTAAAGGTCATTCACCAGTAATGAGGAGGAAAACTCACCTCCTCCGTCAGGCTTGAGTCCTCCAGCCAACATCCTGATGAAGGTCGTCTTCCCTGTGCCTGCAGACGGCATCCGGACACTCAGGTTACTGGACTGTGGGCCGGTCAGGACCCGGTCAGGACCCGGTCAGGACCGAACCGGCAGCAGCTTACCGTTCTCTCCCAGCATCACCATGATCTCAGAGTCGGTGAACTCTCCTCCTTTGATGTCCAGAATGAACTCGCCCATCGTCTTCGCCATGTCTGGGTACTGAACCGACAAACAGCCGCATGTTAGGGGCAACCTGGCATTTCTGAGGGTCACAAGGTCACAACACGTCAAGATCAAAGAAACAACAACAGGAAACAACAGGAAAATAATATTTTAATAAGAAAAACTCACTTCATGTAGCTCTTTAAAAACAGATTCAGTTTGCATGAAGTTCTGCTACTGAAGCTAATTTAATGCTGATATAATAGTAAAAACTAGACCAAAGTATATATTCTCAACATTCCTCATTTTAATTTTGTTATTTTTCAGACTGAAATTCTCATAAAACTCCAACTTTATCCTCATAATTTAAACTGAGATTCTCAGCCTGGACCTGATGCTCCATCGTAGACCCGAATTAAAGTTTAAATAAACTTAGAGAAATACTCTTGTCAAACAAGATGGCCGCCCTCGCCGCCTGACAAGGACATTTTCCAAGAATTAAAATGTCAAAAACCAAACAATGGATTAGCTGATAATATTAAATGAAAGTGGAGCGTCGGCAGAAACTGAAGCAGAAACTCGCCTGGTAATGCCGGAGCCGCTTCACCTCCTCCTCATTGGCCGTTTCTGCCACTTTGAAGACCAATGATGTTTCCCGAAACCTGAGATTCTCCGTGGGAACGTAACCGTCCAGGAAGATGTTGATACCTGGAAGATGAAAAGACACAGAATGAGCTTTAAGAACTAGAACCTCCATGTTAGAGCAGATTCACATTTAAAGAATTTAAGAATATTTTGTTTGTTTTTTGTTAGCGTTTTTTTTCCAGGTTATTACATTTCTGAAGTTAACAGGTTCAGTCATTAGAAGGTTTGAAACGTTAGTAAATTGGCAACAGAACTTCTATTCTGACCAGAGAGGCTCATTAACTCTACAGATTTATTAACATTTGTCAGTTTTGCTTTCAGAAGTTCCAGGACCAACAGGCATCTTTATAAAATAAAACATTTGTTCAATTGATTTGGCCTCAAATTCAAAAGCAAAATCAGTGAAAGGTTATGAATAAAATATATTAATGGCTTGCCATACATCTTCTTGCATTGCTTTGGTGTGGAATGTGTTCGATAGTCTGAACAAAAATCTAAGTAAAACATGAAGAAATCTGCTGATTATTTTGAGTTTCTCTGCTTGTGGCTTCATGTCTGACATCAACGGGGCGTTTGAGTCTGACCTTCCCGGACGCTGAAGGGCATGGTGACAACTCCGTAGGCGCTGGGGACGCCGTACAGGCAGCAGATGAAGTCCGACAGGTAGTCCAACACGCTCAGGTCGTGCTCCACCACGATGATGTACCTGAAGCACAGAGTTATAAATCCAAAGCAGAATAAAAAGCATAAATCTGAACCGGAGGTGATCCGCGCCATCTTGGTAGGCAAACGCAGCTCAAAGCACAGCAGACTGATGGCTTTAAGATCAACAAAAATATATATGTGGGCTCTCTAGATCAATGTGAGATAAACACACTAATAAAATGGCTGCTGTCAGGATCGACCCAAATGAGACGCAGAAGGAAAATATGTCAAACCTGCTATGGTAAAGCTAACTAGCTAATGAACATGAGTGGAGTGTGCATGACATGGATTAGCCTGAAATAAGTGTTTAAATGGATTAGAAAAGGACGTACAAACACTGTGTGACTAACAAGGTTCTGGTGACTGTAATAAAACGTTAGCCACATGACCGTCTTAGCTAGCAGATAAAAGCTACACTGGCTAAGCTAATTTAGCTAGTTCAGCAGAAAGTACTACAGTAAATATTTATCTAAACATTACACAGAGTTCCCATAAATTGTGATCAAATAACAGTTGTAAGGTTCTTATACTTAAGAGCTAGTTTTGAGCTTGTTTTTGTCATAGCAACTCCACAGCAACTGCCTACCAAGATGGCCGTCAGTTTCAAAGTTCCTGGAAGTGACATCACACGAGAACCACGTTAAACCTCCAGGCGCTGCTCACCTGTCGGGGGTGATGAGCGAGCGGATGGTGATGGCCGCCTTCAGCCGCTGCTTCACGTCCAGGTAGCTGGACGGCTCGTCGAACATGAAGCTGAGACAGAAAACAGAACCGTCAGGATCCGGCTCGGCTCTCGGGTCCGGACAGAAACCTGAGTCGGACTCACATGTCGGCCTTCTGGATGCAGACCACGGCGCAGGCGAACCGCTGCAGCTCTCCTCCGGACAGATCCTCCACGTTCCTCTCCCGCAGGTGACTCAGATCTGAAGAGTTTGACTCGTTTAATCAATAAAATCACCAAAGATTCATTTTTAATCAAAGGTTTCCTTTGATTGATATGATTGGATTGAACGTCACATGAATATCAGTGCTTGAAAAAAGAACAAATCAGAAAAAGAATCTGAAGAAAAGATGCAAAGTTTTTTATGTCATTTTCCCTTTTTCATGCGGCGCTGCAGCCACTAATAAATCAATAATTAATCATCAATAAACTGTAAAGCCTAATCGCCTCGGTTCATAGAAAGTTGCAAGATTAAAAACAACCATATGAAATGAAATCATTTATAAAGTACAGGAGACGTAGTTTGTTCAATTTGAAATTTTTTAAAAGTATAACAATTTATTAATTTTTTAAATAAAAAAATGTATGTTTAAATTAAAAAATTTGTTAAATTAAAAAATACAGTTTGTTAATTTTATTCTTTAAACTTAAAATAACTATTTTTAAATTGAATTTCATTTCTGAAATTAAAAAATGTCTTTTTAAATTAATAAATTTTTAATTTAGAAATTTGTTCATTTTAAATTTACTTTTTGTTAATTTGCTACATTTGAAACAAACTTATTTTATTTCACTTAACATTTAAGTCATATTTAATATCTTACAACACATATATTTTTCAAAACTTCTGTATAAATTGTAGTTATATTATATTTAGAAATATTTAACACTGGATTGTGAGAACAAATAAATTTCCCATTAGGGATCAATAAAGTAGAATCTATTCTTTTCTCCTACAGCAGCAATTATGAAATTATTTACCAAAATGAAAGATGAATTTGCATAATCTTTCCTTACATCTTGACAGAAAAACAGTTTTACGATTTATATCCAGAGAGAAAACATGTTTTAAACGTTAAAATATCAGCCATTTTCTCAGCTTAATTTAAGTCAAATCCGAGTTGCTAGTTGTAGCGGCTAACCGGCTAGCAGCTAACAGGCTAGCGGTTCAGTAATGGATGAAGTTTTCTACCTAGTTGGTCGCAGATGATGTCCTGAGTGTCTGTGTCGTCTTTCCTGCTCAGGATGGCCCCTACTGACCCCTGCAGGCGGAAACGAGTCATTACAGCAGGTGGAGCCGCAAACTGAAGCCTGGACTGAAACGGCTGCTGGCTTCACCCACCTTGACGGTTTTTGGGATCTGGTCGACGTACTGCGGCTTGACGATGGCCCTCAGGTCGTCCTCCAGGATTTTAGTGAAGTAGTTCTGCAGCTCAGAACCTCGGAAGTAGGTCAGGATCTCCTGCCAGTCTGGAGGGTTCTGAAAAAAATTACTCAAAGCTAAAGGAAAATTCAAATATCTGGAGGATGAAGCAGTAATAGAACCAACATCTGTCACATTAGACTTTAGATCAGCATTGTAAATATTACTAAAGTTGTAATTTAGTAATATATATGAAATAGATATGAAAACGTGAACCTTATCTTCACTAAACAAAAGCTACTCCACCCTCATTCTTATCATAACCAAACCAAAACAAACTACCGTATTTTCTGGACTATGAGTCACAGTTTTTTCCCTCTTCATGAGAAATTTTTTAATTTATGTGACTCGTAGTCTGGGAACGATGGTAGTTAAGGCTGCCCAATTTATGGCCAACAGAGGTAATAAACTTACAATATTTAAGATAACGCAACGTTGCTACATGTCTGTCACACTGGATGAAATGTTAAAGAGCAAAGATGCAGGAGAACGGCTCCAACACTCACATCAAACTTCCCCAGGTTGGGTTTCTGTTTCCCAGCCAGGATCTTCAGGGCCGTGGACTTCCCGATACCGTTGGTCCCCACCAGCCCCAGAACCTCTCCGGGTCTGGGAATAGGCAGCCTGCAGCAACAAGCAGAAACAAACCTCAGATCATCTCCAGACTCATCCTGCAAGGAAACGAATCACTGGGGAACCGAGAGGAGAGAATCACCAAACTGTCAGCAAAGTTAGCAACAGTTAAATGATGTTCTTGGCATCATCCAGCCAAGAACAGAAAAATTATAAGAAAACGAGTCAGCAATGATGTGCTAGCAGCTGGTTAGCGGTAGCTTCAACTGCAGGTTTTATCAAGCAGCCCTTTGAGGACATTTATGATGTAGCTCAAACTAAAAATGAGTTTGATATCCGACGTACACGGAGGCAGCCATCTTGGATTCCCAACCTGTGACCTTTACTGCATGTTTTCTCTCTCTTTTTTCCTCTCATGTCCTGTTTGATCTGCTGCTAATAAATGCTACTAGAGCCAGAAAACCCTTCAGGAACACAAAAAATGTGGGAAATACTGGAATCAAATGTGATACTTTCCAGACTGGAAACCCTGAAGACGAATGTCTAAGCCCCAAACCTGTCTGGGACCAGACATTTCCCCATTAAAGCAAATATTTATAGATTATTATTACGTTATTAACTTGGTAATGAAGTTATGAGTGAGATCAATGGTATTAAAGAGAAAATGCATCATAAAAAACGTGTACTTAACAAATTGGTAAATGTCAAATTACAGTGGCAACAAGACAATTCATATATAAGTAAATAAGATTCTCTTCTTCCTGCTTCTTTCCCAGCTAAATATAGTATAATAAAATAAAATGAATAATTCACATAATGTATAGTTCTTACTGTATATATCACTGTATAAACTGCTGTATAGGCAATGTATATATATTTTCATTGTTCCTTTTATCTCTTAAAGGCTTTTTAAATCAAGCAATGGCTGACTCAGCTTCAGGTGGAGTTGAGGATCAGATGAATCTGCGTACCTGTGCAGTTTGAAGGAGTTGGCACAGTATCTGTGAGTCGTTTCTTTCTCCAGGTTGCTGGGAAGGTTGACGATGGACAACGCTCCGAACGGACATTTCTACGACCAAAACAGGAAGTGAGGAAGAGAGACCCGACTAAACTCACACAAACAATCCAGTCTGTGTGCTGCTACCTTGATGCAGATGCCGCAGCCTATGCACAGCGACTCTGAGATCCAGACGATCTTACTCTGAGGAGTCACCTCGATGCACAGCTTCCCTGCAAACACACGCAGCCCATCAGCTTCCTGCAGCATCAACAACAACAGCGCTCTGGGGTCCAAACACTCACCCATGCGGACCACCGGGCAGCTCTTCTTGCACTCCTGACGGCATTTTTTAGGTTTGCACTTGTCGTGGTTGACGATGGCGATCCTGGTGTTCTTATCCGCCATGTTGGAGGGCTGGAATGACGGACGCTAGCGCCTACGGAGCTGGAAAGAGGCAGACAGAGGAGAGAAGATGAAGGAAAAGAATCAAACCTTTAATCTTTACTGCAGCAGCAGAGACAGAACTGCTGAGTTCATTCATCTGATTCCAGGTCTTGAAGTCAGGATTCCTCTATTTAATCCAGAACCACTAAACTAACAGACTAGGAAACAAAATCAAAGAGAAGGAAACTGATTTAGGATTCAAAACAAGCTGGATGTAAATAGTTTTGATTCAATAAAACAGGAGAAACTGGAAGAGTCCAACAGTTTCTGTCCCACAGAATTAAATATTAGACTTTAAATATTATAAATCATATTAATTTAAGATTTTCTCAGAGTTGCTGTTGAGGCTGATGACAGGATGAATCTCCTGTAGCAGTCTGTGGTTCTTACTGCTGAGGCCTCTGACTGAAGACTGTCACTGTGAGTTAATGAGCAGGTTTTGTGCATTAATATGATCTTATATTTTTATTTACATTAGGGCTTAAACGATTGATCGTGACTAATCGATTATTGAAATAATCAATTGATGTAGTAATTGACTAATTACAGACTCTAAAGAAGGTTATTTTCTGAAAAAACATAATCAGAACATAAGCCAAAACTAAACTATTTATTTTGCATTTAAGATTAAAAAACTTTTTCCTGTGAATATTTTATAGCATTTAAGCAAAAAAATCATTATTTTCTTATTTTAAAACTTATTTGTTTATTTGCATCTTTAAATGTAATCTTATACTATAATATTTAAGAAACGCTTCGATGAAAAATCTACAGTATGTGGCAATTTTTAAATTCGATTAATCGTCTTAATCAATTGATTGATTCGATAACTGTTGGTTTCAGGCCTAATTTCCATTTATTTTGTGGTAGGTAATAGATGCTCAGATTTATTGAAAGAAAACATACACTTTAGTTTTTGCTTGGAGAATATTAGATTCTAAAATGAGTAAATTAAGGGTAAATTTAAGCATTTCAAAGAGTTTTAACTCCATGAGGACCAGATGGGAGAAGAAGAAACACATATAGTCTGATGCCAAATCCTTCAAACTTTGACCTGCAGCTTCGTGGTTCAGACCCTGACAGAGTGGAATGTTATTTTTAGGCTCGATCAGGATTTTCAGTTGCAGCATCTGAACCTGTCCGGTTCTGATAAACCCAAACACTAAACGGTTTCTTCCTGACGTGCGGTGGTTCCTCTGCAGTCTGCGTCACACCTGCATATTGGACCGGGCCTGTAACTGTTCAAAACCACCAGACACGATTGACCAACATTTAACTCCTAATCACTGACGCGTTCAGGTTTTCTGCGTCCAAATAAAACGTGACGGGCGGTGGCGACCAGCGTCTGAGGTGGATTTACTCCACAATACATTTACAAATATCAAATCAAACATAAGCCGAAATCATCAAATGAGCCACATGCTTGATAAAACACAGAAATATGTGCCCTAATATATATGTTAGGTTGTTAACTTGTGATAATGTTAAATTAATGGGAAACCAAGCGGAGTTCGGGAGATTACCTTCCGATTTTACAGCCTAGTAGGAAATATTTGGTTTCTGCTAACCAACAAGCTCTCATTGAGAATTAAAACGGATAATATAATGAATCAATTTAAAATTCCCAAAGCAAAGCTAGAAAGAGTGACTAGATACAGTCAGTAGGGGACGCTAACAGCTAGCGGTTAGCTTGAGGCCCGCACCGTGACAGCTGCTCATTCTACAGCAACAAACAGAGAAAGCCAAACAAAATCCTGGGTGACAGGTTGAAAACTCACCCCTCTTCGGCTCCCCTAACCTGCCTTCGGTAAAAATTAAATATAGGAGCTGATTGGAAACAAATATTTGGGAGTAAAAACTGTTTTTTTCCCCAGCAACGTGTTTCACTTGAAGCCGGCTGGAAAGATGGCGGGAGTGACGCACATTTTAGTGCGACGCGGTGCGCTTGACGTTTACAAGAAGCGACGCAAAGCAGGAGCAGGAACATAACAGCACTCATTTCTTTTAGGCTTTTCCCCCTAAATTTTTAAATAAAATTCCATCTCATGTGTTGACACGGTGTCTTTAGAGGAATATTTTAACGCATATTGTGAGTTCCGCTGTCATGGTTTTGTTTTAAACGGAGTTTTTGCGGGTTTAGAGGAGTTTTAGTGTGAAAACTCGAGGTACGAGCCGCTAGCTGCGGTAATTTTAACATGTTTACTTGCTGTTTCTGGCGAAATAAGTGGCTGGCAGTTAAATCTGACATGGCGACTTTTTCGCAATATCTTAATAAACTTGTTCAGATCCTGAAACCGATCATCTAATGTGCTAACAGTAGTTTATGTGTAAATTAGTTTTAAGAAATGTACAAGAAATTCGCTTTGAGTATAAACTTTCTTCCGTTTCCATAGCAGCACGATGGCCACCCCCAGCAAGACCCCACCCGGAGCCGACCCGAAGCAGCTGGAGCGGACCGGGACGGTCCGGGAGATCGGCTCCCAGGCGGTGTGGTCGCTGTCCTCCTGTAAACCAGGTAGGAACCGCATCCACACAAACGCGCACATTTCGAGGGGAGTGTGTGGAAAACACGCGTCCTGTGCGCAGGGTTTGGAGTGGATCAGCTGAGGGATGACAACCTGGAGACCTACTGGCAGTCAGACGGATCCCAGCCGCACCTGGTCAACATTCAGTTCAGGTATTTCTGGAAAATCCTTCTCAATCACATCCGGTCTCTTCTTACTTCAGATTCACGCTGGCTCTTATATAGACCCAGTTAAATTGTTCAACATCTGTTAGAAATCATGTTGAATGTAGATCTATACTTATTAATAATCTCAATACATCACTGTCAGTGACTTTACTCTGTACTAAAGTTTGTAGGTTTCTTTTAATCTCTACATATTTTGTTAAAACTTTCATCTAGCCATAAGGAAACGATAAGAAAAGAACAATTAGAGTAAGATTTTATCATAATATTACTGAATCATTTCTTTCAGTCTTTTAAATTTAAAGTGCTTTAAAATACCATTCGCGTACAATAACTTTTCAAACTTTGTCACATTGAAATTTATATTAGGATTTATTTGCATTAGTTCAACTAAAAGTAGGTCACAATTGTGAACTGATGGGAAAAGATATGTGTTTTTAGCGGTAACAATCTGAAAAGTGTGGCATGCTACTCCACCTTTCCGTTTAGCTGCAGCTGCAAATCGTTTGGGACTTTTCTCTACCAGATGAGAATTTTGTAAAACCACTCCAGCTTAGTCACACTGGATGGATTCTCTTTTGGATTTAGCTTTTAGGCTTTGATTGGACCATTCCAACACATAAATAAATGCACACCACACTTTTCAGACATGTATTTATTATTAAAAATAAATTATGGGAAGTTTTGGCAGAAATAGAAAAATGTGTAGGTTTGATTTTATTCAATATGAAAAAGCTACAAGTAGTTTTTAACTTCAACCACAAATTATAACTTCTACATATTTGTACATTTTAGAGAAAAGCAGATTTTAGAGCAGAGTTTTGTAGTTTTTTTTTTTGTTTGTTACGTTTCTGATTTCTGTGTCGTATGCTTGCCTCTGATTGGACCTCTGGTCGTCTGCAGGAGAAGGACGACCGTGAAGATGTTGTGTATTTACGCCGATTATAAATCAGATGAAAGTTACACGCCCAGTAAAATCTCTGTGAGAGTGGGCAACAATTTCCACAACCTTCAAGAGATCAGGGTAAGTTTGTGTTTCTACAGCTCAGAGATCACAGCTGCTGGGTGTTAAACCCGTCCGATTGTCTCTTCTTCGTCTCTGCAGCAGCTGGAGATGGTGGAGCCCAGCGGCTGGATTCACATTTCTCTACTAAATCAGGTAAAAACATCCAGTCTCTGTTTTTGGATTCAGCAAAAACAGAAGGCGGTGCAAAACTTATCCTTTTTTTTTTGCCTGTTGGAAATATAAAAACATTTTTCAAAGGGTTGAAAGGTTGAAGATATCTGTGTTTAAGGCCACTGATTTACATCTGTTTTTAAAATAAAATTAAGAGACTAAAGTCGTATGAGAGTAAAGTTGAGAAAAACCAATATATTAAAACTTTATTCTTGTAATTTTATGACTTTATTCTCGTAATATTACATTCTTCTCAAAATATTCTGACTTTATCATCAAGTTATTTGAACTTAATTCTCCTCATTTTATTTTATTTTTTAAAGTATGGCTCTAATACTTATTTGCACAAAACAAACCCTGTATTTGAAATGTTAATTTTCATAAATTATTTGTTTATTTTATCTCAGTTGTTCCTGAAACTATTTTAAAAACCTGAAAACTGCATTTTATTTCGTCCTGAATGTAATTCCGGGTTTCACCACCTGGCGGCAGTGTTGCTCTGCAGCATAAAACTTTCAAAGACTTTAGTATTTAGATTTTTTTAAAATCCAGGTACAAATTAAAAGCATCCCAAAGTATTTCTGTATTTATTTTCACTTTATTTATTCCTTTTTTTTCAGTATCTAACTTTTAATTTCTGTGTTTTCAGCGAACAAATGAACCGATCAGTACCTTCATGATCCAGATCGCCGTGCTTGCCAACCACCAGAACGGCAGAGACACACACATGCGGCAGATCAAGGTTTACACGCCCGTGGAGGAGAGCTCCATCGGCAAGTTCCCACGATGCACCACGGTGGACTTCATGATGTACCGCACCATCAGGTGATCCGATCCGGCCGATCCGGGACTCTCAGGATCAGAGGAAAGAAGACGGAGACTGAGCTGCTCGTTTGGACCGACGGGTTCAACCGATCGGCTTCCCACTGGTTATGATTGGGTTGGGATATTTCAGGTTGCCAATATTTAAAGTTGCTTTGATGAGGGACTGAAACTGGGTTTGGAGTGAAACCGTTGTGCCAACAATTCCTCTGGGTTTGTTTTTTAAACTGTGAAATAAATGTTTCAAACCAAAAATGTGACTCTTGTTAATGAGTGAAGCATAAATGGCATTAAAAATCATAATCCCAGATCAACAGAGAATCTGTTCCTATTCTCTAATCCAGATGACTAGAGTGCTAAAGTGTATTAAATTAATCTCTTTTCTCAAACTTAAACACACAAATAAACCTTTAAGACAATGTGGAAAATAGCTGAGTTTCACACACTGGACTGTCAGTTACAAGAATAGAGTCATAATATGAGAATAAAGTCTTAATAAAATGAGAAGTTATTTTTTGAGAATAGTCATAGAATTATGATTTTATTCTCATATTTTTCAACTTTATTCCCTTAAAAATATGACTTTATTTTTGTAATTCTATTTTCTTATTTCTTACCTTGGTCCAAATACTCCACTATGAAAATGTTTTATCAAGACAAATCAACTTTATTTACTTGGCATGGGAGTAAAAATACTTTACATCAATTAAGTTAAATATTGCATTTTGTTTTTGTTAAATTGATTACACATTTTTAAAGTGCCTATCGCCTGAACATCTCGTCCCCTAAAAGCAGATAAACCAAACCAAAAAAAAAAATAAATGAACTTGATAAAGTTCTTAATTAAAAAGTCTTTAAAGTATAACTTTGAACAATGGAGGCATTGTTCAAAGTTCAGTAATGACCTCATGGTGAAAACTAGTGATGGAAATTACAATTTTCAGCAAAATAATCTCTATTTCAGTTTCATGAACTCAGCAGAGTCTCCTCCTCGGTAGGAATGTAAGTAGAAATAGAACTGGATCCCAGCATGCAGAGGCTCAGTGAATCTGGTCTGGACTCTGTGCAGGAGAGTCATGGATTCAGAGACACTGTAGAAACACAGAATACCTGCTCTGTGGTCCAGGTACACTCCCACTCTGGAGGAAACTGGTCCTGGTACCTGAGTTTCAACACCATTGTGCCAGAGAGTAAAACCCGTTTTCTGACACGATATTGACCAGGAGTTCTCATTGAACCCAAATGCACATTTGTTGGATTTTCCTGCTCTGCTGATGTTCTTGTATGAAACGGCGACATCAACTCCTCTTCCTCTCCTCTTCACCTCCCAGTAGCATCGTCCAGTCAGACTCTCTGCTCAGGACCTGGAACCAGTCAGTGAATCTTTCTGGATGATCAGCATAAGACAGCCGATGATTCATTAACGTTGCTTTTCTGTTCCCATCAGACAATAACACGTATTTGTTTGCTGTGTTTGGATGCAGCCTGATTCTGCATGAATACTTTAAGAATCCAGCTCTGTTCTTCGGTTCTGTTTCTGGCAGGAAGGCACCGACTTCAGTGACTCTTAGTTCATCCAGTAACCAGAGATAACAAATAAACTTCCGGTCAGTTCGGCAGAAGATCTTCATCGCCTCATCGTGACGAGAGCAGATGTTCTCCTGGAGCTTCTTGATGGGGTTTGCTAGAATGTGTTTCTATAACGGTGGAGCATCATAGTGAGGCTGGAGATGATTCTTGACAGTAGGAAGCTGGGCAGGTTAAACAGGACTTGGCCGCTTTGATTTTCCTCCCAGTGCAGACATCGCAGGCCACATCTTCAGGTCCAGCATAGCAGTGATCAGCTTGGGGTCCAGTCTTCTTCAGATCCTCCACCAACTCTGCTAACATAATGCTTTTCTCCAGGACAGGCCTTGGTCTGAATGCTTTCCTGCACTGAGGGCAGCTGCAGATTCCCTCTGATCTCCATCCCAGAAGTATTGAATGCAGTTCATGCAGTAGCTGTGTCCACAGGGAATAGTCACCGGATGCCTCAGTAGATCCAAACAGATGGAACAGGAGTATTTCCTTCGATCCAGGTGAAATTCCTTGTAAGCCATTGTACCGTTCAGTCAGAACAGTCCTGTAAGTTTCATTTCCTCTCAACAGAAACTGCTTTGCCTGATCATATAAATGACAGCTCACGCCCAGAATACAACCTGTGACGCTGCTAGG